ACCACAGTGCGGAAAAGTTCGTCTTACTCCCGTAAGACTTTTTATTTCCCATAGGTCTAGATTTTAGAGTCTAAGTTTTACACCGATCAATCAATGTCGTTGAAAATTTGACCAGATCTATTCCCCGTAGTGCCCAATCATCCCGTGAAGTCAGATTTTGAATGTCATGTCTGAGAACGAAACCATCGTGTCACGAAAATGGTTGAAAAATGATCAAAAAATGTATGGATGTGGGTACCACATCACACACAGCGACGCACATTAATATGCCCCAAAATCATCTCCAATCGTGTTTTCTACATGAAATATGCATAGAAAACATGTTTTGGGGTGACTTTAATTTTTCGGCCTAATACAATACACACTAGGTGTGTGGAAAAGTAAAATCCACTATTTCTTTTTTTTGTGTGTATGCTTGAGAAGCAGAAAAGCAAAATATTGAAAGTTTCCTCACATTTATTGCTCTGAAAAATAGCGAGTATTACTCAATTTAACTCCAACTCTAATTGAGATAATTGACAAAATGAGTTATTCGAATATATTATTAACTCTCCGTTGTACACATGTCCAACGAGTCACATTCGTAACACATGAGTCTGGCCAGACCCACATACATTTTATATGAAAAATGATGTAATTTTCATTCTCTCATGAGTAAACATCCACGGATTGGCCAGATTTGTTATTTCAAAATGCTCCATGTGGTAGAGGGGTTCACGATATGACATTTGGGGCAAAAAAAAATTCCCAGATTGATGGTACTCTCGCGTATAAATGTAGATTACGTAGAAACAACAATACCATGACTTATAATATAATATGAGATGAATTGAGACGACATGACCTCGAAGTGAATCTTGTGGAGTATGTTGATCTGACCTGGTCAAAGTGTGGAGCTACCAAGGATCATATCTAGCACCATATCAATCTGGGAATTTTTTTTTTGCCCCAAATGTCATATCGTGAACCCCTCTACCACATGCAGCATTTTGAAATAAAAAATCTGGCCAATCCGTGGATGTTTACTCATGAGAGAATAAAAATTACATCATATTTCATATAAAATGTATGTGGGTCTGGCCAGACTCATGTGTTACTAATACGATGTTTACACCAACACATCCTTATAAAAAATCCTTGTGTCCTTTTTCGTCCTGATTTTTTTCATAGATTGGTAGCCAATAAAATTTTAGGAAGCTACACGAAATTTCAAGTCGCTAGCTTATTTAAAAATATATTTAAATTACAATTAAAATCAAAAAAGGTCTGGCCAGACCTATGTGTACAACGGAGGGTTAATGCGCGATGTAATTGTCTTTACAAAGGTATGACACTTCCACCGAGTAAAACGCCTGATTGGAAATCAATAATAAGAAGCGCACGGAGTACAATAAACCAGTGGCTCGTTGACAATCCACCGCAAAAGGAAATTGAAGCAGCACAAAGACGAAACCGTATGTATATCAAAGCTGAAGTGAACTGAATTCACTGCTAAGTAGCAACAGTTGTTTGAAATTATCAATATAAATCAATTATAATATTGTATCAAGTGTTCATCTTTTCTCGCTCAAAAATATGTTTAGATCATTCATTAACTTGGATTTCTTATCATCCCCTTGATGATATTTTCGGTTTTCTCAACCATTTGCGTCAGTATAACCCTATGATTTGTACAATTCGCGAAATTAAAGATTGGATGAAAGATGCAGGAACACCGCTCAAAGTATTGAGGTATGAACCGATTGATGACATTTTTTTATTGAAACAATTAGATTTTACCTTTTCTGTTTTTTTTTTACAGAATATCGAACGGCAATAAAAATAATAAAGCAGTATGGATTGATGGTGGCATCCATGGAAATGAATGGATAACTACATCTGTAGTTACGTACATTGCAAATGAATTGATCAAAAATTGGAATGCAACAGATGTTCAAAATATCAATTGGTATATTTTGGCCGTACAGAGTCCGGATGGTTACAAATATGCTTATGAGTCGGATCGATTTTGGCGAAAGAATCGTACACCGACTGGCCAAAGCGATTCCATTGGGATTGATTTGAATCGAAATTACGATTTCAAATGGGGTGAAAGCGATAGCGTTGGTAATCCAAATGACGATACCTACGGTGGTAAATCTGCCTTTTCTGAACACGAAACATCGTCCATTAAAACGTTCATTCTCGAAACAATGAAGGGAAAATTCAGCGCTTTCATCAGTTTTCAGGGTTATGGTCAAAGTGTTATGTACCCTGGAGGTAATGATGAAGATTGTGATAGTGTAGAAAAAGCTGCTATACAAGGTGTAAAGGTAAATAATTTATTTAATTTTTTCAATGATTTTTCAATAATGAATTGTTATGTTGCAGCGCATGAAAACAGTTGACAACCTAAATTATAAAGTTGGAACATCACAGTCACTGTTCAATGCTTCGGCAGCAGGTGCAGCAAGCGAATGGGCCAAAAGTGTTGGCATTAGGTACAGTTATACAGTTAATTTGCGTGACACTGGACGTTATGGTTCCCTTTTACCGCCCAGGTTTATCGAAACCACAGCCAAAGAAGCAAACGCATTTGTCTTGGCCGTATTGGAAGCCATAATTGGTGAGTCCAGATAGTATTTAGTGGAAATAAGGATTTTCGCAATATACTTGTGATGTTTGTCTTGACAACTCTCTTTGAAAATGAATTTTTTGCTCCGTGAATGCATGACAAAGCAATAAAATGAATTCAAACAAATTATTTCAAATATGTGGTTTTAATATTTTAACTGAAGACTTTTTACAAATATTTGGGATTAGAATTGACTTTTTTCAGTTTGTGTGAATTCTAGTTGATCTCCGATACTTCAGTATAAAAGTGTACGTTTGATATTATAAAGAAAAATAATGTGTATGAGAATCGAACGTTAATCGAAACAATCGGCAAATAATCGAAATAATTAAAAAACTATTTTTGAAGTGACTTGCCCCTAGGGACCCTAGATAGGTACGCCACTGCACAATTTCATTATAAATCGTTGCGAATGAAGCGATCGATAAGATCAAGTGCCACTTCAGGTTGATCGGTTGGAACCATATGACCTGCATTCAAAACTACGACGTCCACAAAATTATCGGTAGCTTTTATGTAACTAAAGAGAAGAAAAAGAAAAAAACAAACGTGTAAAGTCAATAAACTGATTACTTGTAAAAAAAACCTATTTTCAACTTACCCAGCCAATTTGGAGTTTACTTTGAGTGGTTTGCGACGTGCTGAAAGATATTTTTCCGCGCCATTCCATTTCATATGCTGATAAGCCTTCTTTGATAATGGATAGGCAACAATGAAATCCAAATTACCGCTATAGTACATGATACGTAAACCTTCGTTCAACAATTTTTCAGTCCAGTGCATTGCTGTGTTTACAATGTCGGCTTTCAGTTTCTCATACACATCTCCACTCGTCGGGTAGAAGCGTGTACCACCTACATGAAGCGCACGTCGAATCTACGAAAAAATCATGTTTTTGCTTGAGATCTAAGATCCAAATTTGTCGCTTTTCTCAAAGCAATAATATCTCACTTGGCTTTGTTCAATGAATTGTCGATAAGAGGCGATGTCTATGGGTTCCGGTTTCAAAATATTGTATAAACTTTTGAATTGACTACTTTCCGAAAATGCTCCATATATTTTATTCACGTGCTATAAAATTAGAGACGTAAAATTTTATTTTTTTTCATCACAAAAATCGGAGTATTCAAGGTTTTCTTACTTCGAGTGTATCAATGTTCGGAAAAGCTTCCTTAGCATTCAATTCGTGTATTTTCATCTGATTTCTACCATGAATATCAATGAGACCGGTTTGATAGGCAAAATCGGCACAATCAATCATATTCATTGGATCAGTGAATGCATTTCCAAGAGCCAAACCCTGAAAATAGAGACAAAATGAAAACGACATGAACGATAAAAAGCGAAAGTTTTCACAGAAAATTGCTCAATTTACTTGTAAATTAATGATAAGATCATCGACTTTATTTCCTTCCCAAATGGCATTGGCGGTAGCCGGAATGTATTTACCGGCATATGACTCGCCGGTGATGTAAAAATCATTCGATTGAAGCCATGGAAAGAGTCGGAAGAATTGCTTCAAAGCAATGTAGAGATGGTCGGCGGTTTGTGTAACGTTAGTGCATAAGCCATCTGGATTTGTATAGCTGAAACCAGTTCCAACCGGATTATCGATAAATATTATATTGTATTTCTTATGCCAAGAATATGGATTCTCTGCAAATGTGAAGAAAAAAAATATTTTGCAATTTCTTTTAGAAAATATTGCCCCGCATTGCCCTAATGTATAATTAAGATTATAAAACCTCCTACTTCGAATCGTAACGTTGTCATTCACAAAAAAAGGTCCATTTTCGGTGAATAAAGCAAACATCGAAGATACCCCGGGACCGCCTTGAAGCCAAAGTAAAACCGGACGATCACCGCCAACAGCTTTTTCTATATCATCGTCATAGAGTTGTTCGGTCCCTTCAGCTGGGAAAAACCAGAAAAATAGATTCGAATCATAGTCGTTGTTGACCGTTAAAAATCCCGAGTAACTAACTACATCCAGAAATTCACTTTCATTAACTCGTGCCAATTTACGAGCCTCAGCTATATTTCCACTTTTGATCCATTTGGTCAGTACCAATGGATCACCTGATTGAAAAAAAATCCAATGACAATTTATTCAGTTCGATTGATTGTAAGACATTTCAACAAAAAATGCATCCTTTGATTGAATTTACCTAAATCGTCGTTTGAATTATTTTCAAACTGTAAATAATTTGAATGAAAATGGATATTAATTTTTCATTGAGAAATAATACTTGACAAGGCACTCCAGCATGGATGAAATCGAGTGTATAATGTATCCGTATAATGAGCCCGCACCAAAGAACAATGCAACTGAGTCCAAAAAAATTGTACAAATGTGCTACCTATTGTTGCACAAAATCGAACTTTCTAATTTCTCGTGCTTTCGTTTTTAGGAATTTTTCCTTTCGATTTTACTCGACTAAATTTGATCAATTTCTGTTGTATACAAGTGACGTTAAAAACTGTTCACTGCGAAGCGCATTGTTCTTTGATATTAGTGGGCAACACACCTTCATGCTGCCGTGCCAAAATGTACCCAAAAGCATTACAAACATTTGATTCCCATTGTGAAAAATTATGTGCGATTAACAATTGACCGGAAATTGTTTGAAGTGACCACAACAAGAAATTTGCACCGAAAATGACATTAATTCGACCCATTTTCCTTTCAAAATATCTAATTAACATTCTGTTCAGTGGAATGGAAAAAGGGTGATTGCCTGGTACTCGTCGAATGAAACTAGACCGTACAATAGCTGTAATTTGTCTTTATATCGGTGTTTGATGCTTATCAGAAATAGTTCACTTCAAACTGACACATGTGTGTGATAAGTTTGCTAATCCTACATTCGCGACAGACGACAACATGTTGATAGATTGAAAAGAAGGTCAAAATTGTCGAAATAAATCAATAACATGTCTTTGAAGTGCCATTACACAGAAAGAAAAAATGTGGTATTTTTAATTCAATTTTGGTAGATTTAATATAAAATCTACCAACAACGAATTAAATTTACCATTTTTGACATCTACAAAGCATATTTCTCAAAAGAGACTATCAGTTTAATAAGTTTTACCAATTGCTTCATATCATTCACCAAATTCATGGGCTAGCGTCATGTGTGGTTACGAAAAGTTGGTAAATGTAATGAAGCAGTTGGTAAAACTTATTCAACAAATAGTCACTTTTGAAAAATATGCCTCATAGATGTCAAAAATGGTAAATTTAATTCGTTGTTGGTTAATTTTATATTAAATCTACCAAAATTGAATTAAAAATACGACATTTTTTCTTTCTGTGTAGAGTGAAATATTGTGTTCGTTGCTATGGTTCTTATTACAATTTTTGCTTTGATTATCAAAATTCGAGATAATGTTATGAAAATATAGAATCACAAGTAATTCCAATTCAAATGTTTATTCGGTGTTAGCCATGAAGTCAATTGGTTTAATTTTTTTGGCACTTTGTGCAGTGCAGTGTGATGTACAATTCGGCAAGACATTTGGTGCTGAAACGCGAATTCTTGGTGGCAAAGATGCTGAAATGGGCCAGTTTCCATATCAAGCATCACTCCGAGTTCTTCATGACGAACGTCATAGTTGCGGAGCGGTCATAATAGGTAAGCGTTAGCGGAAATAAAACACGCAGATCTTAACAAACGATGTTTTTTTTATTTAAAAAAATTAAGTGATGACTTAACTAATCGCATGTATCGAAATAATAGGTAAACGTTTCCTATTGACAGCTGCTCATTGCACTCGCGGGCTCTTCTTGTGGCCAAGATTCACGTATGTAGTTGTCGGCGGCAATCATCTTAACGACGGCATACCGCTCAAATTGGACAAGATCACACCACACGAACATTTTGATTTGAATACACTTTACAATGATATTTCGCTGTTGCGCACCGCCGAAGAAATCGTTTTCACAGACCTTATTCAACCGGTTTCACTGCCAACACAAACAACTGACGGAAACACCAGTGTTGTTTTATCTGGATGGGGACGCACTCGGGTATGTAATTTAAAGCAAATCGACCATTAATATAAACGAAGGTGATGCTAAGAAACAATTTGAAAATAATTTCATTTCAGTATGAAAATGGAACACCACCACTGTCAGACACTTTACAATTTGTTGAATCGACGACCATTAGTTTTGATGAGTGCACAGAACGTTTTAAGGATCATGAGGCTCTTCAATATCTCAATGAAAATGATATTTGCACAATAAATGAAGTGGATGCTGGCGCCTGTTCGGGTGATTCAGGTAAATTTGAACCTTCTTTGATGAAGATGCATTTTTTCCACATAAAACTTACACGAAGACAACTGTTGCTACCAAAATGTTATCAATAGGCGATCCATTGGTTGACGTATCAAGTCCAGAGAAAAAAACATTGGTTGGCATAATTTCATGGGGGATCCCTTGTGGCAAAGGATATCCAGACGTTTATTCAAGTGTTCACGCATTTCTCGATTGGATTGAAAGAAATATGGCCGAACAAAGCAAAGAATAAATCGAAATATTTTGGAATGACTTAAATTCATGACCATAGGTTGTGATAATATTAATGCTTTTATTGTGGTAATAAAATTTTCTTGCTTCAAAAATCAAGTGGTTCTTGAAAAGCACGCAGAAAAAATCTTATCTCATTTTCGGAGTTTTTATGAAGATTTTTTGGGGCCAGCCTTAGAGTCTAAGGCCCTTAGACTCTCATCTCTGAGTATAGAATAAAATATGATATTTCGAAATAAAAAATGAAAAAGCTGATATAGATCGATAATGTCGTGAAAAAGCTATATCGATCGATTTGTTTCAGAATCATAAGCCCATTCCACGAATTTGAAAAAAATATTCATTTCGCATTAATTTCAGAGAAAGAATTGAATAAAATACAAATATATACAGTTTTAAAAATGTTTTATTTGCCATTCGGCATCTTAGGTAATGATGATTCACGTTATTAAAAAACCAACAATTTTGTGACGATAACCAAAAAAAGGTGTTTTTTTTTCCAAAACAGTTGAATAAACAAAATCCGGCCGATGGGAATAATTCAAGAACTTTGTGTTCAATCATATATTGAAGATGCTCTCTCAAATGAGCAGATGGATATTGGCCGGTGCTCAATTGGACCGAACATAATTCGGGCAAATAGCCAAGCATGACCTCGGTTGCATGTGCAATTGCGAATAGTCCACACGATACGGAATCGGTTTGATGTGTTTGTGAATTCATCAGTTTTGTGCTGGTTGCATTCGGGAATAAATTCTTATTGGCCAGTTCTGTGGCTGGTGGTATTCTTCGTCTGCCCAAACTGTTATAAATATACACTTTTTTTTCAGAATGTTTATGAGAAACACAAATAAAATGACCGAGGGCATATGGATCTTCGAGATCACCGACAAATAAAATTTGGACGCCATCTCGTTTTGTCGTTTGGAAATTTTTATAACTGTCTGGTGCCATATTACAAGGGGCCATGCGGAATTTCTTTTTGTTATAATCATTGGCAAATTCAATAAAGTAGTTAATCGTATCTGTGGATAAGGGATAATTCAAATGCTTAATTTCCGCCAGAGCCTCATCCTGACGATTGTTGCTCGATGAGCTAGATCCGCTAAATGGAAATAAAATTTAAAAATTTCGAATAATAAATTTTTTGTACTGAATTATTTACAAAAGTAGATCAAGCTTTCTACTTACGGGCCACTAGCGATTTCAACTCCCACACAAAACTGAAATTTAAACAATAAAATGAAATAAATATAATAAGCTTTCAAAGGATGGACTCAAACAATAATAACTTACAATTACGACGAGAAACGCTGATGCGTATTTAAAAGTATTGAAATTTGCCATTGTTTCCAGCAAATTGGCAAGATCTCTTCCAAAGAATTATCTTGCTAAGATACGTGATTCTACGTGGCTGTAGCACGGCTTTTATACCTATCATTTCTCATGAATTTGCATTCCAATTCGATTGAGGGTTAAACGAAAATCGTCCTAAAAAACCCCAAATTAGTCCTAAATAATACAAAAAAAGTCCTGAAAAAACCGAAATTAGTCCTGAAAAAATACAAAAGTGTTCCTAAAAATTACATAAAAAGTTACACAAATCGTCCGAAAAAGCCTGAAATTGGTTTGAAATGGCATTAAAAAAAACAAAAAACATCCTAAAAAACCGCAACAGAAATAAATATGAAATTCTATTATTCATGGATATCCATAGCTCGAGCTTAATGTCTGCTAATAAGCTAATCAAACAAGAAATAATTGCAAACCAAAAACAAAATAATAATAATAACTGCACCGAACAGCGTTTCTTCGCCTTCGTGGTTTATTCGAAATAAATGGATATAATACAATTGAAATATTTAATTGAGAGTTTTTTTAACTACTAAATATAATTGATAGGATTTTTAAGTGATTCATAATCTTTGCAATGTATTTAGATCTATTCTGCTATAAATAATTTTCAATTCTTAAATATAACAACTGAATAAAGACTGATGATTGTTTCGTGACTTCCAATGTCATTGAAGCTTCACTGAACTACTCGTTTATGCGTGTACGTCGCACGAAACAACAGAAGACTATAGCTTTGTCTTTGAATCAGTGAAAAATTCAATTGAAAATTTTTATGAGGCAATTTTTTCACCAGCTATTCTTATCGCAGATGGTGCAATGGCAATTCGCAATGGTTTTTATAATACTTTCGACTCATTCCATTCAATTCAACTGAATTCTGACGTAAAAGGATTAGATCAACAAATAGAAGAAAACACAATTTGAACGAATTTAAACCAAGCTGTAAAACAATTATTATTATTATATAAGAAATATTGTGCGCAAAAAACTGTTACTTCTCAATTTTGATCTCAAGCGACACATGTTTCAAATGTAACTCATTTGTTCCAATTATAGATTTTAACCTGGAAAATCGATAAGAAACAGTGTTGTGCGAAAAGGACAAGGCGATAAGGAAATTAATGTGTCTGTGAGTCCAAAGTTTGGACTTCAAACTTGACATTTATTTTGCTACCTTTGAAAATGTTGAAATTCCAGGTGCTGTCCCTCCAATTTCTAGTGACATTTGTTTTTCCAGAAATCAGCCACCTTCTCCTTCTATTTTTCTGAGCTTACAAATTGAAAGCAAAGATCTTTTTTGGTCGGCGTTTTTCTGGAATTATTAACTCTTCAATCTCTCTCTGGCCGACTTCAAAAGCTATGGTTCTAATAAAAACATTGAACATTTTTTTCACTCTCAAAAAGTTACAATTGATGATGGTTTCTTTTTTACAAATCATTAATAACGCGTTTTGATGAAGTGAAAAAATGCCGACCGGAAGAACAATTTTTTCTCTTTTTTTTCATTTTTCCGCATAATCTTTAAATTGAATGGAAACATGAAGACTAGCTCAAAACACTCTCGGAACAAAAGTAGCGAGTCTCGATGTGCTCTATTGAAATCTACCTTGGAGTTTTGAATATTGCTATGACTTACAGTCAGTCAAGGGTAAGTAAATTAATTCGAGTATAGTTGGTTAACTTCTAACACAAAATGCTTGACAAATTGCCATTTTTTGCTGGACATATTTATCAAAGAAAATAACAAAAATTAGAAATAGTCCTAACCAATGATTTTTTGTCACATCTAGTCATAATTCGAAAGGAAAAATTCTTTTTCTCCGAAAGAATTTTTTCTAGGATTTTTTCTTTTTTCTCCGAAAGAATTTTTTCTAGTATTTTTTCTTTCGAATTATGACTAGATGTGACAAAAATTCATTGGTAAGGACTATTTCTAATTTTTGTTATTTTCTTTGATAAATATGTCCAGCAAAAAATGGCAATTTGTCAAGCATTTTGTGTTAGACTTTCAATTAAACAACTGAATTGCTATACATAATAAAGTGAGGTTATATTATTCATATTATTTTTTGACTAGCATTTTGATTCAACTATTCGCGAATATTTTGAACACCAATCCCACAAAATGTAAAAGAACTTAAATAAAATATATTTATTTTGCAAAAAATAAAAGATATTTTGATAAAATATATCGTATTTTTTAGTTGTTGAGAAAAATAGGCAGAAAATTTCAATAACTTAATCTAGTACTTCATCAACATGACAAGTCGGTATAACAGGTTAAGTTGGCATTGAAATATCCATCAAAAATCGACAAATATTGCTCTAAACTGCTTTTATCGGCTTTTATTGAAAATATCGTTTGAAATCTTACTTATTCGATGATATCGATTTTATCTTGAATTATTCATGCTTAAGAAAAGTGAGAGACTCCCCCAGTTTGTATCGCAAAACTAATGTCAGATTTAGTTTTCTCTTGAATTCAAATTTGAGTAAAAGATATGTAATAAATGCATGTTGTGGATCATAGTGCGGAAAAGTTCATCTTACGGATGTAAGACATTTTATTTTTCAGTGCTCTATCGATTGGCATCATTCGTTGATGTGAAGACTTCAAGTCTCTTTGAGCCGACGGTGGCGCCCCGAATTTCAAAAGGGACGTCAATGTAATTTACCAACTCAAATCGAAACTACTATAAACAGCGCACCAATTTTAAAATTTGCTGTCATTCCTCCCATTGCCCCAATTTAATGTTTGGACCAAAAAATTATGTACTATAATGCACTATAATTTTGTTCAGAATGATTCCGGACCCAAATGGAGGGCACTGGGGCCAGACATACAGATTTACTAGCATTGAAATTGTAATGTTACTAACCATCACATTAACATAAATGTCTGTAATAGTTAATAAAAAATAAAATTATAATAGTTATTTATGTAATGCTAAAATCCAACATTACAATTACAATAGCTAATACCAGTAATGTCTTGTTGACACAGAGAAAATTTACACGAATACACTTACAGGATCTGTATAATTTTTGACATTTTACGTATTCTGTATAATCAACAGAGATATTGTACACTGTCTGTATAATTCGCTATTGATTTATATGTCAGCGCATCTAAAATTAAAACTTATTATAAAAACATTACATTTTTTCATAAATGAATTGACATTTTATTTAGAGTTTTGTGAATCAATTTTTATTTCTTTGAAGATGTTTATGATAACAGAATTCATTTTTCATATTAACGAACATCAACATCACATTCCATGAAATGTCAAATCTACACGAACCAAATGTTGTCAAAAGTATTTAAGTAAGAGATGGGCGCGTAAATGTGGCGGCGCCACTAGTAAAAAATTGCTTCACTGCGAATGTATGCTAACGTTACAATTATAATGTGTTACTGCAAAATGTAAATCTGTAAGTGAATGTATTTTAGTCATCGCAGTTTTGTGTTGACGTTTTTTATTGCGCAGTTGTGTTTCAATAGAATGTTGTTGTGTTTGTAAACACAATGCCATACATTGGGAAATTACATGTGGCAAATACAAAATATGTACGGACGTACGATAGTGCCATATCAGCGGTTTTCCATGTTTTTCATACAAGCCCCCCATATAAATGGTAGTAAATCGCGAAAAATGAAAAAAATTATTGGAAGTATAAATTAAAACGTAAGGATTCGTATCTAACTTCATATCTATCACAGATGCAATTGTTTGGACAGTGAAAGCTGTTGTATCTTAAAGAGCGTCAAAAAATCTACTAAATTCGATCTGTCAAAGTGAAAACAATTCTGCACACACAAGTTTTTTATTGCGATTAAAATGTCGAATTACGTTCCAACAAAACAGCATTTGCGGGAAGCAATGCTTTTGTACTTTAATCAAAAGAAAAGTGCTGCTGAATGTCATCGTTTGTTGTCGGAAACGTATCCCAAATATTCAATTTCAATAAGTGTATATGAAAAATGGTTTAGAAGATTCAGAAGTGGTGATTTTGACACGGAAGACAAAGAGCGTCCAGACCAGCCGAAAAAATTTTAAGATGAAGAATTGGAATTGTTACTCGATGAAGATCCATGCCAAACGCAAGAAGAACTCGCTAAATCATTGGGAGTTACTCAAGCAACCATTTCACAACGTTTAAAAGCATTAGGGTTCATCCAAAAATTTGAAAACTGGTTGCCGCACGAATTGAAACCGAGAGATGTTGAAAGGCGTTTTACCATCTGTGAAATGCTGCTCGCAAGACAAAAAAGCAAGTCATTTTTGGATCGAATTGTTACGGACGATGAAAAGTGGATCCACTACGATAACCCAAAGCGAAAAAAATCATACGCTCGACGCGGCGAACCAGGACCATCGCAAGCAAAGGAAGATATTCATGGTTTCAAGGTAATGCTCTGTGTTTGGTGGGATCAAAAGGGTATCGTGTATTATGAGCTGCTGGAACCGGGTGAAACAGTCACAGGAGATCGCTATCGACTACAACTGATGCGATTGAAGCGAGCATTGGACAAAGATCAGAAAGAATGGAGGGGAAAACACAACCGGTTAATTCTTCTTCATGACAATGCTCGGCCACATGTTGCAAATGTCGTCAAACAATACTTGGAAACAACTAAGTGGGAAGTCTTACCCCACCCGCCGTATTCACCAGACATTGCTCCTTCTGATTACTACTTGTTTCGAACGATGCAAAACGAATTGGCAGGCAAACGCTTCACTTCTTCGGAGGAAATCGCAAATTGGGTCGGTTCGTGGTTTCGCGACCGATTTTTTTCTGGCACATTTATGTCTCCAAACCGAACAAAAAAAATGTGAAATCAAATCTGGCCGGTGAATTTAAAATATATAGAATAGCTCTACACCACACAAAAAAAAATATCTCAATTTAATTGAAAAATATGCTTTTTTTAAGCACATATAAATACGACAGTTTCACTGGCACACCCTGTAGATGATAAGGAATGC